TAGCACTTTCACCCTACTAGTTACCTTACCCATTTAACGTCTTATGAAGAATTCTATTATTAGGTGATCATTGTCCCACAGATGGCCACCGATCTGTAGGTCCCCTACCATATCATCCCTTGTTGCCAATACCAGATCCAGTACGGCATTCCCCCTAGTGGGACTGTGTCTGGGTAGTTTAGGTCACCCATGACTACTGCTTCCTTAGCTTTTATGGTCTCCGAGAGCTGCCTCAGGAGCCCTGAATCTAGTTCTTCCCCTTGGTGTGGGGGTCTGTAGCAGACCCCTACCACCAAATCCCTTTCTCCTTGCCCCCCATGTATCCTAACCCACAATCCTTCTACTTCCTCATCCTTCGATTCCGTCTTGATGAGGATCAATGTATATTGCTCATTGACATAGAGCGCAACCCCTCCCCCTTTCTTCCCCAACCTGTCCTTTCTGTACAGCCTATAACCCTCAATATGTACCGCCCAGTTGTGGGACGAATCCCACCAGGTTTCTCTTAGCCCTACTAAGTCATAGGCGTTTTCTGCAAGCAGGAGCGCTAGTTCATCCTGCTTGTTCCCCATGCTCCTAGCATTAGTATATAGGCACTTGAGCCCCATGAGTGGTGCCTTTGCTGCCCCCCAGCTCCAAATCCCAAGGGGCCCCTTATTTCTTACCTTCTTATTGCTTACCTGTGCTGTACTGCTGGCCGTCCCATGGCTTGCAGGTTCCCAATGTTCTTCTTCTTCAGGCTGGGCTGTCCTTGTGGGTGCCACATGGTTTGGTGGTCCACAGCTTCCCCCGCCTTCATCTTCCCCTCCCCCCGACGAACTTAGTTTAAAGTCCGCCGGAGGAGATCCGCCAATCTAATAGAAAACACACGCTTACCTTTGGGGGACAGGTGAAGCCCATCCCAACTGAGTATGTCCCTTGTCGTCCCTTTCTATTAGAGCGTTTTATCGAACATCTGTGCCAGATCCTATAAAAGGTTAACTTAACGTGAGATCACTGCTATCCCAGGCAGCATTGTGCAGGTCTGTGCTCTAGCCTTGGGCAGAGCTCCTGTGCTCTGCCCAAGTGCTCAGCCTGACCTGCCCTCTTGGCTCTCCCTGACCCGTGTCAGTAACAGCTTCTGATCCCAGTCCTGAGTACAGCCTGTCTGTAGGGAGGTAGTGGAAGGAGGGGAATTTCTGTCCCTGCCCCACCTGAGTCCCATGCACGTGGGGGTGGTGTGAGGGATGGGAGTCTGGAGTCTCTCCTGGCAGCTACGTAGGCCAGGTCTGCATGACAGAGAGGCTCAGGAACCTGCTGTAGCTGGAGAAACCAAGCCTTTCTGCTGTGCAGATCCTTCCCCCTTCCTCTCCCACAAGCTTGTGGTCACAGGCCAGAGGCTCCATTTTCCCAGCTGTAGTCAGAAGCCTGCGGAAATAGAGCCTGTCTGCCATGCAGTCCTAACCTGTGCCTGCAAGCTTGCACAGTTGGGTCTTGGTTGGGGGCAGGGCTGGGTCCATGGGGCAGAGAGGCTCCATTTCCCTCTACTCTCTCCCCCCAGCTGCTGGTGCTGCCAGCTGGTGGAGGGAGCAGTTGGGGCTGGCTGGGGAGAGGTGCCCTGCTGGCCATTCAGGGGTGGCCAGCTGCTCAGCTGCTGCTGCAACCTGTTCAGGCAGGCTCAACCCCCGTCCCCTGAACTGAACAGCATTTGTCCAGTTCTGTCTCAACCTAATGTAGATAATTTTGAGTATAGCTCTATAATTAGAGTGCATCCACCTTGGGCTTGAGTGTCTGGTCTTAGCCGAAGAGTCCTGATCTTGGGTAATCCTTACCTGCAACAGAGCCAGGGAAAGGGCTAAATGGTCCTTTCTACATCTCTGTTTCTCTGCGTTCTACTTACCCCTACTCTCTTTATTTCCCTGGGGCTTTAATAAGTCACACATGTACTGCAGAGTCCTAGGTTCAGTCTTTTTGTTGTCTGCTTTTATTTTCAAGAATATATATCCTACATAACTTCCCAAATGACTGTGGAACAGTTTATCCAGTCCTCTGCTGCTTCAAAACT